ATAGTTTTATGTCTAATAAATTGGAGATAAAGAATTTCAGGAAATTTGAAAACACCCAGAGGGGTACTGACTTGAATAAAGAAATACTCCCCTAAATGTATAGTTGAACAGGAGATTTTGGACATTGAAGGCATTATAATTATATAATTTTGATAATAATAGCAATTGTTGGGCAAATAAATGTTCATTGTCCAATTAAAGGTAAATCTGATATTCTATAGCATTGTTTTACAAATAGACCACATCTGTAAGTATCTGGGGACTTTAATTTTGGATTAAGTTTAATTCTGGATCAGAATAAGATTTCAAGGGGAAAAAAACCTTATAGTCCAGAGTCAGAATGTTTTCCATGCAGACATCTGGGAATTTAATTCGGTTGATTTATGGAAGCAGTTATATTCTTTACTATGACCCTATATGCACATGTTCAAAACTGGATTACTTTTTAACATCTGAACTAATGGTTAATTTAGTTTAGAAGTTTTATATCGGCCAATTTCTGATTCTGCCCTTGTAGTTGTCACTGGTTTTATAAATAAAAGCCTCAGTTAGAGAAAGGTAGTATTTTAATATGTTGTTGCTAAATGATTTTCAGTTTGTTGATCAACTTCCCCTCTTCCAAACTGCGGTTTTGCAAACGAATCGGGGAGTGTTTGGGAAACATTTAAGACATTTAAACAGGCTAATGCAATGACTTTTGCTTCTTGGAGAGAACAATGAATCAGTTGCATGTTAGAAAGTTAGAAAAGAAAGTAAAAGAAACCCTGAACCACCCTTTGGAAACTTGGCATATTTTTAGGTTGGTTATCTGGAGCTTGAGCAATTAATAGCTTTGAGCACCAAATATTCTTTAAAGTGTATCAAGCAGATGTACTGGCAACCAGAGGAAAAAATCTGATAAATTATCATCTTCTCCTTTGAAACGTTTGAAACAAAGTAATTCAATATACACAGTGAACATGAAATTGAGCAAACTCCGGGAGGCAGTGAAGGACAGGAAGGCCTGGCGGGATGGGGTTCATGGGGTCACGAAGAGTCAGACACAACAACAACAATTCAATATATATTGTAAGAGATTCTCTGGAGACAATTCATAGAAATTATAATGAAATAAATCACTTTCTCTCAGCTCAACCCACCTTACAGGGGTGCTGTTGTGCAGAAAATAGGGGGTAGGAACATTATGTGTATTGCCTTGAGTTGCACAAAATAAAGATGAGACATAAATTTCATAATAAATAAATACATTTTGTTAACTCTCATAATGAATTGGAGTGAAAGTGAAAGTGAATAACATTATGGACTCAACTAGAAGGTTATTATGTAGCACTCTTGAAATTTTAGCAAAGACCTGGTCCTAATTATGGTAGGAATGCTATAGTTTTTCCTGCACTTAAGGTAGTTAAATTATCTTGGAATTATTGTTTAGGAAATTAAAATATATCCCAGCTCACTAAAAAAACTGACAGTTTGGAAGAATTCTTATTTTAAAATTGAACTAAATGATTTTAGTTCATATTATTTAGTCTCACTTTTTTATATACAGGTAGTCCTTAAGTTACAACTGCAGTTGGGACCAGGATTGCTGTTGCGACCGCATCACTTTGCAACAGTAATCCAGGCAGTCCTGGTTGTCATCGTGATCCAAGATGTGCAGTCGTTCAGCGGGAAGCAGAGGGAGTCCCAGATAAGGAGTGTGGGGTTGCCGCAGAGGGATAAGGGTGCATGTGATTGCAAGGAAGCTGTGGAAAGAGAGCATGGGGTGCGTGTGAGTGAAAGGGGGAAGGAGGGCATGGTGTGTGCGAGTGAAGAAAGGCTAAAGACTTACCCCAGTGACTTGCGACCTTCCTTGCTGGCTTCCCATTGACTTTGCTTGGGGGAAGCTGGCAGGGAAGGACACAAATGGCAATCACGTGACCATGGGATGCTGCAACTGGTCATAAGTGTGAGCTGGTTGTCAGGCCCCCGAATTTTGTTCATGTGACTGTAGGGGTGCTGCAATGGCTGGAACTTCAAGGACCAGTTATAAGTCCCTTCGTTCAGCACCGTCATAACTTTGAACAGTCACTGAATGTATGGTCATAACTTAAGGACTACCTGTATATATAATATATATAATTATTGGTAAATATAATAACCAGATATTTAGTCTCTTTTTATGCATACAGCTTTTTTTGCAAATGGATGTGAATGGGATTTATAACTTTTGCTTTTATTTTCATTTGTGTTAGGGCCACTCTGACCTCAGGGGGAATGGTCTTTCAAAGGGTGGGTGCTATGACAGAAAAACCTGCTTTCTGGGTCTGGTACGATGACGTTCCTTGACTGATGGGACCCTCAGTTTGCCTCTCCTGCTGGGCCCACCATGTCTGTAAAACACTGGGCCTCTCTGCTTCCTTATACAGAATTTTTCTAAATCCTTCTGCCCATAGAACATATCCATCTCAACAATTAATGTAATATCGGTGTGCACAGTGGGATTTAAAATCAGTTTTATTCACATATGTGCTTACCTATCAATTCTAAAACTACTGTGTTTTAATTCTGTGATTAGGATCTTCTTTCTCCTACCTGCAGATCTCTACTCTAACACGTGTATTATGTTAGCGGAGTTTCTTGGCATTGTTGTTGCTGTTTAATTTTATCCCACTTTTTTGCTTTCAAGCCTAAGATAGCATGCAAGATAGCTTTCCCTTCATTTGTCTTTACAACAATAACAAGTTGTATGTGAGAGAAAGTAACTGGTCCAAAGTACCCCACTGGGTCACCAATCTAAGACCTTCCCTTTCCTTAACACTTTCCTTGGCACTAAACACTGGCTGTTTGTAGGACTGTTCCTCAGGTGCATGAAAATGTGGATCCTGTTGCCCCATGTTCTCAAACCTGATGCTTGCCAGACATACTGAATTTCAAATTCCAGCATTAAAGCTAGGGTGAATAAAGTAAACTGGATTAGTTTTTCCATTTCAATATTCTGATCAGTCCTTGGAGCACAAATTCTTCTCTTCTTCCTTCACTTCCTTAAGTTCCTTCTATGTTAATTAAAATCCATGTTAACTACTGTATTATGCCATTTATTTGTTGTTAATAACTCGTTTGCAGCCTATCCTTCCCAAAACTTCCAGTTGCCAGTAAGCTAGGATTTGATTTAGCAGTTCAGTATGTGCAGAGCTTTCATGAAACTATTATGAGGAAATCATATGTCTTGAAACCTGTCCAACAAAGGAAGGAGTAAGTACAATAAGACTTTTAGTTTGATTAGCCACTGATCCACATGGAAACAAAGAAGATTCACTGGAAATTAAACACCAGTCTGAGACTTCAAAAAGATCAACAGCTTCATGTCTTTCCTGAAGCTTCTCCTTTTACACATAACCACCACGACCAGCCACAGCCACAGGTCTCACTGAGAAAACAGTATGGAATCTAAAGGCAGGGTTTTGACATGATGGAAGACAAATAAAAATAAACAGGAATATGTGAATTATCTTGTGGGAACCAGGGCAGTGCCATTCATAAATGGGGAAAATGCTGCTGAAATTTGGCTAAGAAAAAAGGTAGATGTTTAGCCTTCTCCTCCCCCCTCCCCAACAAGCCCATTTAGGAACCAGAATATTAAGAACGGGATAACTACGCTTAACAGGCTGGGCTTGACATCTGTCATGCTGGAGACCACTAATGTTCAATTGAATCCTATTGTTTTCAGATTATTCAACTTCGTTGTCATTGTGAAGGTTTAATCAACTGTTTGCAATCACGTGATGTTTTGGAGTCATAACTGGAACAATTGAGCCACAGTTTTAGATCAAAATACCATGTTACAAGCCTGAATGAAAACATGACTTGTTAATAAGTACTCAACAATAGTTAATTAGTCTGGAAACTATATTCTTTCCCCTTAAAACTTACATCACATTTTCAAGTGGGAAAGAAATATGTAAAGGTGAAAAATGTGCCTTTTCAAGAAGATGAATGTGTGTCTGTGAAAGTACAAAAGAAAATGTTTCTGTTTGTTCTTTAGAAAATAATATGCATTTTGCAGTCAATACATATGTGACAAATATCCTATTATTTGGAGAGCAGGCTGCCAATTCCCTCTTTTTATGCATTTGTAATACCATAAAAGCCCATTCCTTAAAAGTATTGTGCAAGCATTCTGAGCGGCAGAAGCTGATTCATTGAAAAAAAAAAAGGCCCTTTGCTTCGTTGTCGTGATTCTTGTGGGGTCAGGCCAGACGCTGCTCCAGATGGCAAGTTGTCAAGGCCAGACAGGCATGGCGTTGGGAGACTTTTCAGCAGACCCAGATTGCAATGTCAGGATTTTCTTGGAAGGGCTTTTTGTGCACGCGCACGTACATCCCATTCCCAGGGCAGCAAGGTGCTGGGAGAGAAGCCGAGGGCCACCCACCCACCCACCTGCGGCAACCTGCTCAGCTTCTGCTGTTGCTTCTATAAAGACCTCTCTGGCTTATGAAGTCTCAGTGCCCCGGAGGAAGAGGCAAGGGGACTCTCCTCTGCTTCTCTTCGCTTCAGGTTCACCACGGACCTGAGAGATTGCTACGGAGGGTTTCTCTTAGAACTTCCTCCCTCTCTGCTTTGCCTTACCAAGCAGTCCTTTGGGAGACAGGTTCTCTTTATAGGCCACGCACTGAAACTCTTTGAGGTACAATGAGCTCTCGGCACTCACCGTAGTTTTCTTGCCATTTTAAATCGGAACCTTTGGACGCAAAGATGCTGCTTGTTTCTTTCCCAAACGGGAAGAAATGAAGACGACCAAGATTCAAGCAAATGTGAGGAGAGCCCCAGGTTTCCCTCTCGATTTGGCCAAAACGGGGACAATTCCTTACCTAGTGAATTATGTAATTTGGGAAGATGCTACTTTTCAAAATAAGCCCATCCTGTTGAATTTGAGGAAAGCCTTTTGTTTTGTTTTTTAAAGACGTACTGTAAACGTTTCTTTGTCTGCTAACACAGTCCTTGGCTTCAACAAAAGCTTCCCCATGAAACCCTGCAAATCAAACCCCAAGGTGACTCCCTGTGGGGATGCAAACTTCCACGGCAGCAGTGAGCCTGGCGGTGCGGCAAAGGCCAGCTCTGAACGCCAGGAGAATGCCGCCAAGCGCAGGCTGGCTGCGAACGCGAGGGAAAGGAGAAGAATGCAGGGCCTCAACGTGGCCTTTGACCACCTCCGCAAAGTGGTCCCCCAGTGGGGGCAAGACAAAAAGCTCTCCAAGTACGAGACTCTTCAGATGGCGCTTAGTTACATCATGGCCCTAACAAGGATCCTTGCGGAGGCCGAAAGGTACAGCACACAGAAAGGCTGGATTAACTTCCACGAGGAGCACTTCCACGCTTGCACAGGACAGAAGGTGGCCGTGGAGACTGATCCCTACGCACCCAGACTTTTCCACTTCCAGCCTGATCACTACTAAGTTTCACAACGAGATCACTGTGGATCTGGGACAGGCTGGTTTTCTCACTCTTGTAAAACGTGGCAACAAGAACTCAAGAGCTGCATCAGGTAATCTTCAGTTGTACTCTTGATCTCAGTTGATCTCATCTTTAGAATCAATTGATCTAATTCATGTGCTGCCTGTTGGGGCGGATCATTTTTTCCTCATTCTAGTGGTTACCTGTGAAATATGTACAATATCTTCAGGTTGCATAATTCTGACATTTTGCTTTTTTTTTTTTTGTAGTTATACATGTCTTACCTACCATGCCTTCTGTTTTCACTCTGATACATTGAATAAAGTAAGGCAGGATAACAACAGCAACAACAAAATTAATCCAGTTTTGTATATGGCCTGGACAAGTTCAATTACTGGAGAATGTAACTGAAGTTGTAACCAGGATGATTAGACATTCAAATCTTCATTAACTCTTAAATTGACAGTGTATTTTATTTTGTTTCTTTATTAATCGTATATGACAGAAAATAGAAATGATATTGTTTAGTCCTCAGAGAAGTAACTTCCTTAAACTTTGTAAGTTTGCCATTATGGGTTCTTCTAAATCAGACTGTGCAAGTTTCACTTACAACTCACAATTTCTCTGAGTGTAAACCTAGAACGGAGCTAATTTCAAATATAGTACTTAGAGTGTTTATATATTCTGTATGCTGCTACCTGGAAGATTAGTCCATGATGATACAAGATGCTTGCATGAAAATAGAATTTTACAGTTTGTGATTCATAATAAGCCTGTTTTTTTACATTGTTGCATTTCTTTTACACTGTAAGAAGTTTTGTAAACTATAAATAAACACATTTTTCCCATACCAAATGTCTGTTATTAAAAGTAGCGGGCATCCTATATTGGGAATTTGATATGTTCTAGGGGAAAAGTTCTGACCATTCCTTTAGATTTTGGATAATAAATGTAACATACATAAAAAAGGAACGCACTAGTTTTATTGGAGGGATTATGGTGTAAATGATTAAAGTGTTGGACGAGGACTTGGGTGAAGCAGACTGAAGTCTGCCCTCATCCATGGAAACTAACCAAGTGGCTTTGAAAGAGTCACCCTTAGCCCAACCGTCTTTGTAGGACTGTTGTTCTGGATAAAATCGGAGTAGAAATGGCTGCGTTCCCAGGGGAAAAGAGACATAAATCTGAATTATTATTGTTGTCAAGGATGTCTGCAGAGAGGACCACTCCCTTGTTTCACTGGCTGGCCGCAACTGCATGATCAGGTCGACTGGGTAACAAGTATTGTGCAGGGGACCAGTGGACATTTCCAGGCAAATCGCTTCCGTCCTGTTGCTGAGAAAAGAAGCAGTTTTGCTGGTAGTCAGGCTCAGCTCGGGGGTTCTTCTCCCAGGTCCCCTTAAAATCCATAGCCATGTGCCTTGCTGATTTCCATAGCTCTCTGAGCCAGCAAGAAATTGATTTCATGGATTTTTGTTTGTGCAATGGGACGTGGGTATATTCCTGCCTGAAGCAATGTGCTGAAACAAAATGACAGATTCTTTCTCGCCATCCCCAGACATTATCAAAAGGCTAAACATTATTTAATAAAGAAGAGAGGAAGGGGTAGAGTACATACAGATTTCAAGACCAGAGTGAGAATCCAATTCACCTGAAACATGACAAAAGTCAATATACTGGCAGTGCCCAATGGGTCACTTTACAGAATCGTCTGTCCCACGGACTCCAGCGTGTGCCCCAAACCTGGCTCCCTTAAATCGACCAAATCAGTTCGAAGATACAGTATAAATTTACTAAGTACCTTCCAGAAAAGCACTGGCAGCTTGCTGAGCAGCCCTGAACAAAAGAACAACCACAGCTTACGCACCTATTACAAAGACAAGACAAAGAGAGGCAGAGAACGGGTAAATTACAGCGTGGCATGGGAATGCTTTTGATAATCCCATCTGGGTGACCTCCTTGTCAGTTATCTCTTCCTGCTCGCTCAGCGTGCTGCTCTGCTATCCCTGAGATCTGGTCAGTGAAAATGAACAATGTCGTTTCATGGGCCACTGGTTTCTGTTTGGTTCCTCCCTGGTCGCCGCTCAGATCAGTTCAGCTTGCTGTGAATGTCCTGTTACAAGGGCACTTTAAGTATTTCACATGGATTGGGGGGGGGGGGTTTTAGGGGGTTGGTAGTGAATGCAGCTCTTTGGTGTTTAGGGGGTCCCTTATACCGCCACACTGGCATCTAGTGTTACAATACTTTGCCCTGAGCTGGGGATGGACTAGGTGACCTTGGGGACTCTGCGCTCTAGCCTTCTGTCATGAGACACATAAAAAAGGGATCTTTGACTGCATGGTTGTGGCCACAATATGGACTTTTTTGCCCCCCCCCCCCCGAGGGCCTCGGTAGGTGTGGGTTGGGGGGGGGGGGGTCTTATAGGGTTGGTAGTGAATGCAGCTCATTTGTGTTTGAGGGGTACCTTATACCGCCACACTGGCATCTAGTGTTACAATACTTTGCCCTGAGCTGGGGATGGACTAGGTGACCTTGGGGACTCTGCGCTCTAGCCTTCTGTCATGAGACACATAAAAAAGGGATCTTTGACTGCATGGTTGTGGCCACAATATGGCTTTTTTTGCCCCCCCCCCGGGGGCATTCCTGACTGCTGGAGGCTGAAGAGCAACAGTATTATGGAACTTTTATGTTTTAAAATAATTTTTTAAAGGCTAAAGCTAATTTCCTCTCATGAGGAAATGTTCTGCATGTAGATGATGCTATGACCCCAGTCCATATTTGCAATCAGGACAGGGAACTGCAGCAGGGAAACACACTCCTTTTTCTTGTGGGTAGCAGCACAAAAGACAATCTACTCAGCTTCTCCCTCCTCCTGAAGTGATTGGGCAGCACCAGCTGATTGACAGCGGTGCCGAAAGCTGTCAATGTGGGACAGAGGCCCTCCTTCCCCCTTGCAA